GTGGCTGTGGCTGATTGCTAACTGTCCAGATACCGGCCTGGTAAACGGTGCGCCGGACATGCTGCAAAAGGRCATGGCCTGCAAATAACAACATTGTCGATGTTATTAAGGATTATTTAGAAAGAGATTGATCCTAGTTACATGGAAAGAGGGTGCAGCGGATTAGTTCAAACTTGTCATTGTAGTCCAGTCGCTTAACACCAAAATAGTTACAGAGTGGATTAAAGCACCAAATTTGGTACAGATGTTTGATTCGATGTAATAAATGAATTCAGAAGGGGAGCCAAGAGATAAGAGTTCAGGGGGGTGCACTACACTAGCAGGGGGAGGGGAGGGGCTAATTATTCCCTAAAGATTAGTCCACACTGGCTTCCAAGAGTTGTCTRCTTTCCTCCATCCCCAATCATCTGGTGACGGGATACATTGCTGGGCCTGCATACTCGTCCATATCCCTGCTTGATAACCAGCTCTTCTAGTGTGTTGCAAAAGGGCAGCCTGGAGTAAAAACAAGTGGTCGTTAATTTTTAAATGAATAATCTGAAAAGCAATATTCAAATAAAATCATTCTCACCTGCGTTGGTGGTATGTTTTCCAATGATCTGTTCATCTTTGTAAAGAGCTCTCTTCGCACCTTATTAACAGAACCAGATGTATTGGCTTTGTCGTAGATAACAACTGTGAATCGCTCAATTGCACTGAATTGAAGTGACATGATATCAAGGGGCTGAAATGGATTGTTCCTTATGTGAAGAAAGGCATCTGTAACATCTGGAAAAGAGATTTCCACGCCTCCCATGCCGTCTTTTGTCCTCTTCCTAAGAATGATGAGTTTGTATCGCATCCAGTAAATGCATGGAACACCGGTAGAGCATTAGATCTGCGTTCTCCTAGACGATGGCAAATGTCATTTATGTAGTAACATCGGTAATGCTTTCCCATTCCAAAAGCAACCCAGATATCAAAAGGGCCATGGATGCGATGCAACTCGAAAAAGTGTCCAACAAGAATGACAACTACATCTGTGTCAACCGTTCGAATTGAAATGGTTCTAGCTCCCTTCTGGAGGGCATCCAGGACATGTACGAGAATTCTTGTATCGGCTTCTTCATGATTACATGTTGACATAGGAGGACCGCTGGATATCACATTCTCTCCTGCAGTAATATACATATCCTTGTCTTCCGGGCAAGTGAGGTACCTGACTTTCTCTGATAGGAGAGCAAACAGTTCTTGTTTGTTTTCAGCGTCTAGTAGAACATTATTCCAATTTCTAGGTAATTTGGTCTGGTCTGAAACGTTTTTCCTTACCCCTTTCCCCCTCTTTTCACGAGTAGCTTCTTTCACGCTATCAGGGCGATAAGTATCCCACACAACATCRATCCTGTTAGACGTGCGTAGTTGGGTGGTGATAAAAGGCAAGAACACTTTATCAGCGTATTCTGAAAACGTAGTCACCGTTGATATTGGTAGTGCATGAACTATAACGGCACCATCAAAGACTTTGGCATCGTAAGAGACTGGAGGCGATGGCTGTGTTGGTACCTCAAGGCAACATAGTAAATCAGACTTCTTRGAAAAGCGAAGTTTGCCAAAATCTGATAGGRAAGGAGGAKATGGCTGATTTTCATGTTGAAAAAAGTCATCTAGGTCTCCTTCTCAGTGTTGGCTAGCTATGTAGAGGCGACTAAATAAACAACAATCGCTTTTTTAAAGGGCTGATAACTGCTTGGATGATTTGGAACTTGTCTTTGGCGTTTGGCGCTTGAAAAGAGCTAAGGATGTTTTCTTGATCGGGTTGTAAATAGGCACAGTTCTGTCCTTGATGACATCTGTAACATATTTCTTATACTGTGAAGTTCCACTTTCTTCTATGGTGCGCACGGTAGTTATAACTGATTCATCTGCACAGTTACGAGTATCCAATGCCACGAGCTCCTTGAAATCATCTTTGAAAGGATTGCCAATTTGAGTAATCGTTTCTGTCAGACTTTGAACTTGCTTTTTAAATGTTTTCTGCGTGGACAGGCCTTGCTCATGATGCAGATAAGTGACTTCATTCTTGTGATCTTCATCCGTTAGAAAATTGGTTTCAAACTCTTTTAGAAGTCTTGCCATCTCTGGGCCAGCAACCATCCACCTTGTAAAAGCCACGGTTTTCTGTAAGGCCAACTGCACCTCCCGATCCCTTTACTACAGCATTGTTCTGCTCGTGAGCCTGATCGATAGAAATTGATGAAAATCTTTTACCCGTCTTTTGAATGACCCAGAACTTGAGTAAATCATCCTTGATTCTATCTGGTAAAGACTTCATGTCGTTGATGTATATAGGAAGCCAACGTGAGTAATTAACGTGATCCAAGGCAAAAAACAAGGGGATAGAACCTCTAAAATTTCAACAAAAAGTTGAAAGTTTCTTTCTCGGTGAGCCTTTATGAAAATGAAGATCTTAATTTTTAGGTTCAGGATCACGTCCCAAAACTTGAATGTTGGACTCTTTCCCAGTAAATCAGATCTCCAAACTCTAAATGATTCCTCGTCGTGCGAATCATTATCAAAAATGAAGTTTGGACAGAGCAAGAGCGGTGACTTGATGAGCGTGCCTTGTCCTTGKGGAGATGGGATACTCTCAGGAAAGAGTCGGCAGTTCCTGCAGAAGCAACACCGGAATCACTTAAGGCAGTTGTCCACCTGAAGATTCTAACAAGCCGCCACATAAGCTCCAAAGAGCCATTTCAATATGAATTCCACCTAGCATCGCAACATAGACAGATTCTCTGTGTGTTTCGGGCCACTTCCATTGAACATACTTTGCAATAGCATAGAGAGGCTGGTCAACGGCAATTACTGGTATCTGGTCAATCCAACATCTCTCTTGCATTATGGCACTCTCGACATGTCGATTTCTATCACAGTCAGTGTTGTTGATGGCAGGTACACACACATCTGTAACCTTAAAGGACAAAGCTGGAACAGTAGAGAAGTTTTCCGGTAGCGTGAAATCCTTAATTGATTTATTGTCCGGAAGAGATATGTTTGGTCTTG